GTAGATTAGTGGTTGCCAGGGACTGGGGGAGTAGGAATGGGGAGTGACTGCTAATGGATATGAGGGGATTTTTGGTGGGGGTGATGAAATGTTCTGGAATTAAAATAGTGGTGGTGGTCACACAACCCTGCGAATAGACAAACCCCTACTGAATTGTATACTTTAAAACAGTGAACTTTATAGTATGTGAATTATATCTCAATAAAGCTGTTAATTTTTTTTTTTGAAGAGCAAAAATGTGGGAGTCGGATGTCTTGCAAACAAGGGAAGAGAAGAAAAGAGGTGGCAGGAGAGAGGGAGGGTCCCAGCTCCCAGTGTTTGGGGTAGACCATTAGGGCTAAAGTAAAGAAAAATCAGTGAGCCTGGCCGGTGTGGCTCAGTGGTTGAGCATCAACCATGAAACAGGAGGTCACAATTTGATTCCTGGTCAGGGCACATGCCCAGGGTGTAGGCTTGATCCCCAGTGTGGGCTGTGCAGGAGGCAGCTGATGTGTGGTTCTCTCTCATTGATGTTTCTGTCTCTCTCTCCCTCTCCCTTCCTCTTGAAAATCAATAAAAATATATTTTAAAAAGAAAGTAAAAATCATCTGGGAGTGTGTGTGTGTGTGTGTGTGTGTGTGTACAAGGGCTTTTTAAAACGGTATTTTATTTTACTTGTTTTTTAAAATATATTTTTATTGATTTCAGAGAGGAAGGGAGAAACATTAATGATGAGAGAGAATCATTGATCAGTTGCCTCCTGCATGCCCCTCCCCCCCACCCCCACTGGGGATGGAGTTGAAACCTTGGGCATGTGCCTTGACCAGGAAATAGAACCACCGCCTCCTGGTTCATAGGTCGATGCTCAACCACTGAGCCACACCTGCCAGGCCAGGGTATCTAATTTTAAATTTTCAGTTGCTTGTTGGGCCTTTGCTACACATCATCAGCTGGATGTGCTACATGCATGGCATGGAATTGGTGGAACTTTTGGAGTGAAAGCTTAGTCAGTGACCAGGAAAAAGGAGAGCCACAGAGGACGCAAAAGCAGGTGGGAGATTCAGAAATCAGCGAATCTCAGAGATTCAGAGATCAGCAGAATCTAAACTCCTTAAGAATTCCTGAGGTTTTTGGTAGGGATGCTGGGAATCCTACTTTCATAGGAGATACCTGGCTGGGTCCTTTTAATTAAACCTTAAGAGGCAAGGTGCTCTCAGCAAGTTGAATGAGGTAGGAGATATTCAAGAGGCTGACATCTGGGGCACCTATATCACTCATTTTCCAATGGAGTCTCTTCACCCTTAGATAAAACTCCTCTCATGGCCTAGAAAACCCTGAGTGGTCTGGTCCTTCCCAGCTTTTCTGACTCATCTCAGCATGACCTTCTTTGCTACAATCACAATGCCCTTCTCATTGGTCCTTTTGAAGATCAGGCTAAATCCTCAGCCCTCCACCCCCACCCCCCAAGGACCTGGAATGGCCAAAAGTTCACGGACAGCTCCCTCTCACTACTGAGGCCTGGCTCAAACCTCACCTCCTCAGAGGTTTTCCCTGACCACCCAATTCCTACCACAATACTCTGCTTTATGTTTTTTATAGCACTAATCAGTAGGTCAAAGTCTCTTGGCTATTGATTTGTTTAATGGCTTATCCATCTTCTCTTGAAGGTAACCTCTGTGCCATGCAAACCAGAACCTGGTCTACATCTCTTCTTGCTCTGCAGCCCTAGAGCCCAGCATGGCACTTGGCCTAGCACACAGGTGCTCCAGGAATATTTGCTCATGCCCTACATTCACTGAGCAAATATTTGAGCACCTACTGTGTGTGAGATCCTGTGTACAAAGTTGGGCACAACAGACCCAGCCCCAGCCCTCCAGGGCCCCCTGGGCTAGTGGAGGGTACAGCCAAGCTAGCAGTCTGCTGAGATACAGGGGATGAGTGCTGTCACTGGAGAGGCACAAGGTGCAGTGTGGGCTCCTAGTCCAGATTGGGGAGGACGGTTGTATCAATGAAGGCCTCTGGAGAAAAGGAAAGCCAAGATATGAGGTTAAATAAGAGTTGACTGAGGGGAAGGGGGAGAGAAGGTGATGCCTATTCCAGGCAGAGAGAACAGAATGTGCAGAGGCTTGGTGGGAAGAGAGCCCAGACATTAGAGAAATTGAAAGTAGTTCAACCTGGCTAGATCCTGGCAGCAAGTGGTGAGGGATGATGCTGAAAACACAGGCAGAGCCAGTCTGTGCAGGACCTTATAGCCTGAGCTAAGGAGTTGAGGAAGAGCACTGGGGAGCCATAAAAGGGGTTTGTGTGAGCAGGGGAGTGGCACCATCGGATTTGTAAACATTAGACAGTTTATTGTGTTATGGGTAGTGGGTTGGAAGGCAGGAAGACAGTGAAGAAATCATGGTAAGAAATGTGGAGGTGGAGAGAAGTATACAGGTTCCAGCAGGATTTGGTAGCCAGAATCAAGAGGGTTTAGTGATTAGTTTTGTGGGTTTTTTTGGTTTTTTTTGGGGGGGGGGTGTTGGGGATAATACCCAGATTTCTAGCTTAAACAAGTGGTTGATAATGCTACTTACTAAACAGGGAAACCCAGATATAGGTGTAGATGACAAAATTCTCAGTGGGACAGGTTGAGTTTCAGGAGGCTACAGGGTATTCAGGTCATCATTGGATTATTCTAGGAGTTTCTCAAGGATAAAAGCCTGTCTTATTTATCTGTATGGTCCCAATCCCACGATGCCCTCACACATAGAACACTAAATGTGCTGAATAAACAGTGAGCAGAACTAGCCTTAATAACTGGCTGGAAAACAGGTTTCAGGTAAACCCACAGGAAAGTCTCAGTCAGGATGGGCTATGTTAGGCTGCTCTAATAAACAACCCCAATCTCAGTAGTTTGGAGCAGCAAAGACTTATTTCTCACTCACTCTCTATGTCCATCTTGAGTCAATGAAGACTTTGCTCCAGTTGGCTCTCACTCAGAGCCACACAGGTTGATGGAGCCTCCACCTCCTGGAACATCACTGGTCACTTTGAAGCAAGGGAACTTGACAATTGTGTTTGTGTCCTTGAAGGCTTCTGCTTGGGGGGCACTTCCCCTCACACTTCATTGGCCAAAGCATGTCATAGGGCCACACCTCACTTCAAGAGGGCAGGGAAGTGCAAAGCTATCACATACCAGGAAGGTGAAGAATTGGACATGTTGGTGACCAGTATTAATGTGCATCAAGAATCTTAGGTTGTAGTCCTGGGTCCACTGTACAAATTTGGATAAGTCATTTCTCCTCTCTGAGCCTCAGTTTTCCCTGTCTGTAAAATGGGACAATAATAATTCCCTCACAGGGCTGCTATGAGGGTCAAACAAGAGGTCATCAATGAAAACACTTTGTTTGGATGGGAAAGGGCACTTAAGGAGTGGGAAGCGGTGATATTTCTGGGACAACAGAGAGGCACACTCAAATGTGGGTATGCTGGAGTGACTATGACTACTACAATCTAAGCAGATTCTGAGTATGCTGAGTTCAGACCTGGGGGGCTGTGAGATGGATAGAGCATTCTTGTCCAACTCCCTGAATTCTTAAGCATTTTCATTCCTCCATTCCTCATCTCTCCAATGACACAGTGGGTCTCAGAGAACTCCCTAACAAATGGAGACAAAGCCATTACTGCCAAGAGCTTGGAGCTCATGTCTGCCTCCCTCTTTGGCTGAGAGCCAGGACCCAGATTTAGAGCCTGTGGGAGGCAAAATAATGGCCCCTCCAAGATGTTCACACCCTAATCCCCAGAGCTCCTGAATATGTTACTTTACATGGCTAAAGGGATTATGCAGATGTGATTAAATTAAGGGCCTTGAGATGGGAGATTATCCTGGATTATCCAGGTGGGTCTAACAATCATAAGCTTTAGACTGGAAGAGGGAGGCAGAAGAGTCAGAAGAAGTGAGTGTGATCATGGAAGCAGCAGTCATAGTGAGGTAATTGCTGGCTGGAAGGAGCACATGAGCAAGCATGGGATGCAGGCAGCCTCTAGAACGCGGTTCTCAACCTGTGGGTCTCGACCCCTTTGGGGGTCGAACGACCCTTTCACAGGGGTAGCCTAAGACCATCAGAAAACACATATATAATTACATATTGTTTTTGTGATTAATCACTATGCTTTAATTATGTTCAATTTGTAACAATGAAAATACATCCTGCATATCAGATATTTACATTACGATTCATAACAGTAGCAAAATTACAGTTATGAAGTAGCAACGAAAATAATTTTATGGTTGGGGTCACCACAACATGAGGAACTGTATTAAAGGGTCTCGGCATTAGGAAGGTTGAGAACCACTGCTCTAGAAGCTGGAAAAGGCAAGGAAACGAATTCTCCCCTAGAGCTTCCAGAAAGAACACCACTCCTCAGACACCTTGAACTTAGTCCATTTCAGACTAGTGACCTCAAGAACTGTAAGATAATCGATTTGTGTTGTTTTTAGCCACTAAGTTTGTGGTCATTTGGTACAGCAGCTGTAGGAAACTAATGCAGAGCCTGCTGGCTGGACCTGTAGGGCAGAGGCTTGATGCCAGACAGCTGCTACTAGCAAGACCCCGGGGCTAAGAGAGGCTCTGGCAGGATCTGCCACTTCTCTATGCCCCTAGGACTGCAGGTGAGGTGCCCCCAAAGCAGCCTCTGCAAAAGCCCCAATGCTGCTTTGCTCTACCTTATCTGCCTTCCTGCCCCTCTCAATTTTTTCTGTTCTACTGACTCCACCACCTTGCTATGTGACCTTGAGCAGACCCTTCCTTTTGCAGGACCTAGATTTCTCTATTTGTAAATGCAAAACAGGGATGGACTAGGAGACCCTCTAGAGGCCTTCCATGCCTGATACTGAGTCAGCATTTCCAGGATGTGATGGGCCTGCAGAGAGCTCTCGGATGATGCTCTTGAACCGCCCTACATCCCCAAGCCTCCAAAAAATCTTTACCAGTCTTTCCTGCTGCCACAAACAATGCACTTGTGTCCAAACACTGACCTCGGTTAAAAGACAGGGGGGACAATGCTTTATTGACTTGGCACCTATGAATGGATGGTTACAGACCCCCACAGTTCTTTGCTATTGCAAAGTGGAGGCTCTGTGGTGGGGGCAGCATAAATCACAGATGCTGGTTCTAGCTGCAGGGAGGGGCCACTGTCCCTGCTTTGGCCCCTCCAGTCCCCTTATCCAGTCAAGCACCATCTGAGTCTGGGCCCTCATGGAACAAGCCAGGGCAACGACCCAGGTTCTTCTACAGTCCCAGGCAGGCTAAGGTAAGGGCTGCAGGCTTCTCCTGTCTTCCCTCTTCTTGGGGATCCCAAGATGGGTCAGGGGAAGGGAGAGACCCCATTTTCTCCTGAATCACCTGGATTGGGTTCCAGGAAGGTCGGATTAGGGGTGCTGTACCTGGAGCCCTACCAAAGAGAGAGTTAGAAGTCATTCCCTTTCCCCAGTTTTCTGTTTTGGCTGAGCAGAAAGTGGGAGCTCTCGTTGAATTGGGTCCACAACAGTTGATGGGATAAAGCCAGGCCGTCCTATGCACGACCACACCATTTGGGCAGGCTCTCTCCCAGACAAGGGGAGGGAAGGGCTGAGTGAACTGCAGTTGTCACAGGAGGAAGGCTTCCTGGAGGAAGAGGGGCAGGCCATAGTAGGTTCCTAGAAGAGGTGGTCTGCAGGTCACAACAGCCGGCACAGAACACTGGCATCCTCGCTGTGGTCACAGTTGTGGGCATCCCAGCGGATATGAGAGCAGAGCAGAAGGGTGCTTTCGTCCCCACGGCACTTGACATTGTCCAGGAGGATAGGGCCTCGTCCTGGGCCAAAGTGGGCTTCTCCAGGGGCTGCCAGAGCTTGACCACAGCCCAGCTGGTGGCACAGGACACCGGCTGCCCTCAGGTCCCAAGCATCATCACAGACAGTGCCCCACCGCTGTCCTAGGAAGAGCTCTACACGCCCCTCGCATCGATGGGCTCCATTGGCCAGACGTAGGTGCCCTGTAAGGGGACAAGGCCGGGAGCTGGAAGGTGCTGGCCCATGCCACGCCACTCCCAAGCAAGGACAGGGAAGGGGTAGAGGAGGCAAAGGGTGTTGGCATGAGACACAGCACTGCCCTGGGAGCCCCTGGACAAGGGCAGACAAATGAGATTAAAATAGGATGGACATCAGTCAGTATTCAGCCTCCAGATGGAAGAACATGTACAAGCCTTTGTGGGGTACTCTGGGCATGTTGGGTTGCATGTCTGCTCTCTCCTTAGTCCACTGTTCATAATCCCAGTACCTCAACTACAGGGCTACTCTCTGGAGACTGTGATTGTGTCCCCTGAAGTCATCAGTGTCTCCTGAGGTTATCATTGCCTACCCTCACCCCCTGGACTCCCCAGGCTAAAGAGTCACTTCTTTCATTTCCCTCCTCAGGAAAGGAGCCCTATCCCCTCATTTTAAGCTACAGATTCCTTTAGCTTAAAACCCATCTCCCTCTTTCTGAACACTATACCTCTATTAATGAGACCTGAGACTAGCCCAAAAAGGCAAAGTTTCCAGGACGTGATAAAATCTGCTGAGCTACCTAACCCCAGGCTGTGACCTCTCCTGATCCTGGTCCTTACTATCCTGATGCCTCTACTTCCCTCTTAGGGGTTGTGGGCACCTACCGTCCCTGGGCCGAGGAGTGGGAACCCGGGTGGTCTCAGAACCATCCTGCTGGACTTGCAGTCCTAGCTCCTCTGGGCCTGGCTCATCAAGGACAAAGAAAAAGAGGTGGCTGTCACATTGGGGAACATGTTCCTTGAGGACAAGTCACCTCCTACCCTCGAAAGGGAAGCCTGACCTAGGGACAACGAACTTTACTGGACCCCGAAGAAGGCCCCCCCACCCCCTGTATCAGAAATGGTGATTGTACTTTTTTCACCCTGGAGCCCAAAGCAAAATCCTTTGTAGCCTACCCTTTGTGGCCAAGGCTACTAGGCCCCAGGGTTACCAAACTAGGGCGAATATATCAATTCCCAAACCAAGCAACGAACAGTATTTTAAAATGTGTAAGACTCTGCAAACACCCCTATCTTATTGATTCCTTCCAAACGGCATGGGGCTTGCTTCCAAAAGCTGATCAACTCTCCGTTTGTTAGAGCTTTGGGGGTCCTTGACTCAGCAGAGCAGTAACACCCCAGCCCCGCCCTTGACAGGCTTTCTGAATTCATCCCGGGTCTCGGTCTCTCACGCCCCGCCCCTCACTGCGGCAGAACGCGGGCCCGGCCCCACCCCACACTCTCA